ATACAGGGCTTTAGAATAGTGATACAGTATCAGGAAATGAAATATCACGATAATTAAGTGTATTGATATTTTCTTACTTACTTACTTCTCATCACATAGAGATCACACTGGACCACTGAGTCCAGGACAGGACTGTGTGTATTCCAGTTAATCATTACCTCTCCAGTTGGATTCAGTGCTGCTGCAGCTGCTGATGAAGTTTCCCATCAGTTCTGCTGCAGTTAAAGACTTCAGCACTGACTGGGTGYGGCTGCTTGTGTTTATTGCTGTGATTGTGTGTGATAGTGGTGCACGCTGTGGCTTTTATGATATTTTATAGTGGAAATGTTTAAAACAAACGACACTGGAGATCAGATGTCCTGCAGGTACGATAGAGCCGATTTTTCCAAACAAAATCAGTCAAGTTACTCCCGTATTTCAAAGTTTGATAAAGCTGTTATCTCTCTTTTGTAAAGTTTTACGCTGATAGAGGTCAAAGGTTTCATTTATAAGCCAGTGCTGTTCCTCGAAGGCCACTATGCTACATGTTTTAGATATTTCTCTGCTCTTTGGCGTGTCTGCAGATGCCTGAAAATCACTCATTCATTCAAAACAGGTGTGTCGAAGCAGAGAAAACATCTAAAACATGCAAGAGAATGGCCCTCAAGGACCAGGATTGGGCACCACCGATTTAAACACATGAACCGAGTGRCATAGTGGACTTGATGGAGTTACTTCTTTTCTGCATCGCTTTGTTTTTACAGTTTTGGTCAGTTCGTACCTAGACTTCCATGGATGTTATCAATAACATCCATGGATGTTATTGATCCATGGATCAATAACTGTATTTATAGTTGATGATCTAAAACACTCCATAGTATTCATCTGATTAAAGGAAGTTTAATATGTAAGAGAGAAAAAAACTGAAATAAAAAGCAGTTACATAGTGGTAAGTACATGGGTACGAAAAGGTAATGCACAATGTGGGTGTATAAATTAGGGAAAACCCCAAACCTTTTTATCTATTTTATTGAATCAGAAACACTTTTAAATTTTATTTTATTTATTTATTTGCCTTTTGCACCATACATTTTTTAAAGAAATTTTCTGCTTATTTGAAAGGAAGCACTTTAAAGTTGTGTTATGTGAAGCTGTGGTCAGTAATCAGTGYCTTACCTGCAAGGGAGTGTTATAAGTTTGGATTATCAGGCCTGCATTGTCAGGGGGRAGTCATGCTGCAAAGCAGATTTCTGCCACATATTATTCTGCCAGAATCTCAACATGTTATGATGGTTTATGCAAACACTGATTTATAGGCTTTTACATGGCGTCCCCTTCAATCAAATAGACACTAATTGCTCTTTTAGTTTTGAGGAGAAAACTGGAGCTCCTGGAGAAAACCAAAGAGGAGAACAGGCAAATTGCRCACAGAAAGTTGTCACTAGGGTTTCAGTCCTCCAGCCTTTAAGCAGAGAGACAACAGGGCCTACCACTACTCCACTGTGTGATCAGTGTGATCAGGGATATTCAACATAACCATGTCAACATTTCATAACACCTTTTAGGAACTCTGTCTCATAAAAAATGACAGATTTTGAAAATGCACAATCATGGTAAAATAGCAAGTTTTAAAATGAATTTAATCTTTGTGAACTGAACTTTGTACCTGTTCTTGTATTTTGTGAACTTACACACAAGCTTACCATCTACGAACCTGACACCATCTGAATCCGAACAGTCGACTTCTGGTCATGTGGTTGCAATACGTTCATTTTTGCACACACCTTTCATAGTTCATGAGACACATGGGACAGAGCTCCTAGGAAACCCTTCCCACTGCTGGACTCGTCACAGCATGGGGTTCTTCCCGCTGGAGTCTCCACTCATATCCACAAATCGGTTACAGACAAAGCACCACTGTTTTTCAACAGACAGATTCCTTCATGCACAATGTCTGTGCTTTCGCCATCCATGAGTTTTAGACCATTTGACTACCTTTATAAGTGTCTGCAAAATGGACGGGAGATGGATTTAATTTCAGACAGCTACTCCTCAAAACTGTCCATGTTGTTAGGATGAACAATGATTGGCTTCTGAAAGCAGAGGAGTTGAAACGAAATGCAACCATTGCTGGCTGAGCACCTTTCAGCATAAACAAACTAGCCCATAAATTTCTGACCAATCACACCATAGTTGGTGCATTCACCGGTAAGAAAAAGTTCGGTCTGGGYTTTGTGTCAGGAAGAAGTGGGCAAAGCCACACAATTTTTGTCACGCAACCATGACAATGCGAGCCAAATCTGTGGCTTTGAATTGTGTAAACAGGAGCGATACTGCCTGCCAAAAAAAGTTGTCACTGAAAAAAGGTCGCACTCTCTAATATTTTGTTGGACCGCCCTTAACTTTGATTACAGCACACGTTCACTGTGGTAGTTTCAATAAGCTTCTGGATTTATTTCCATCCAGTGKTGTATTAATTTTTCATCAAGATCTTTTATTGATGATGGTAGAGTCTGACCTCTGCACAAAGCCTTCTCCAGCACATCCCAAAGATTCTCAATGGGGTTAAAGACTGGACTRTGTGGTGGCCAATCCACAACGCTTAACCACTCTTTCAAAATATGAGCCCCATGAATCGTGGCACTTGGAATATGGCCGTGCCATCAGGGAAGAAACAATCCATTGATGAAATAACCTGGTCATTCAGTATATTCAGGTAGTCAGCTGACCTCATTCTTTCAGCAAAAACTGTTGCTGAACCTGAACCTGACCAACTGCAGCAACGCAGAGCGAAGAAATAAGTTAAATACAGGGGGTGGCTTTTTTTTTTTTTTTTTTGGCTGGGCAGTGTATCCCTTGTGTTTAATGGATTGTGCAGTATTTAGCATTCACGTTCTCATTTCAGATTGACCTGTTCAGTGTGGATGGAGTGGTGGGTCTCAACTGGATTTAATCGGCTGTTTCTGAAGCGGCATGCTTCTCTCAAGMGATGGTGGTCTGTTTCCATTTGAAACAGGAGTTGGTAATGTGTCAGTGTTTGCATGGTTTTCTAAAATCATAGCATGCAACCTACATTGGCATAAAATGGAAAGTGAAACTAGCCTACACAAAAACGTCTATACGTTTTAGGAATTAACAGCTACTGTGAAAAAAAAAAACCTATTGTGGTAGTAGCTGACAGTAATTCACAAAAGATACTCCAAGCATTAACAGMTCGTACAAGCTTTGTATCATCACATGAGGCAGACTACAATGTTATTTTCTAATTAAACAAAGATGTTTATAGTGTAACTTATTTATTTCTCTAACTAAAAATTATCTTAATTTAACTCTGTTGTATCAAATAATTTTAAAGGTGAGGAATGTTCATAAAAAGAATACCAGTGTAACTAATAACTCTTTGTTACAGTACTTAAGTCAAAAAGAGTGGTTTGTGCACTCTAAAAATGAAGAGTTGAATTTATTTACTTCACCAAGTTATGTCAACAGGTTCAACTAAAACAAGTTGTGCAAATGTAAAGCAATTTACATACTTTCCTGATTATTCCAGCAGTTTTGTGACTTTTACTYAAGTAAAGTTTTTATCGGTGAAATTCATTTTTACCAAAGTTATTTTCTGTTAAGGTATTTTTGTTTTTACTTAGTTATTTCTTTCAAGAAAAAAAATCTATTTAGATCAAGTTTGTTGCTTTATTTGTTAACAATTAGAGGAACCAAAACCAAAGATTTACAACCAGATAGTCTTGTTTCGGTCGGCATCTCGCATTATGATGGAAATGAAGTGGAATCTGAGCTCAGATCAGCTGGGATCAGAAAGCTCTGCTGCTCCTGTCGTCATAGCTGGACTCGTCCAACTGGTTCCAGGGTTTGGAGCGGCCCCTGAGACCGTCACTCGCAGGGCGGAGGTAGACTGAGCTAACCATTATCTCATTCCTGAGACTCACTCTCTGGCTTTCTTTCACTCACACGTACACGCACATGTTTTACCCAGCTGAGGTGGGATTTACATGCAGGCAATGTGTCCAAGAGGTTGTTCCCTTAATCTGTCTCCACTAACAGCAGCTCCCACAGATTGTTCCTCAGCCAGATGATTTTCCCCCGATTGCCTTCCTTCCTTTTTCTTTGTGTTGGGGCAAAACAAAGGAACCACCCTGAGGGGCTATTTTTGTCCAAACTCGTTCTCCATGTTTACAGATTGTAAGCTAGGTGGTCACATTTTGTCTTCAGAAAACCTTTCCCTGTATGTTACATAAAGAAAGCGGAGTACTGATAACAACCGGTACCTGTTTGACCGGTTTCTCTTTGTTTTATGGATTTTAATGTGTGTAAACAGAAAGAGGTGAATGTTGAAAGGAAAATACTGTCGGTGAGCGCATTTTTCTCTGCTACACCCTTGCAGTCAAGTCCATGTTGGATTACGTGCACACTGAAAGGTTTCTGTTTATTATCTGCTGCAGAACCTTAATGTAATGTAATCTGCTGAGAATTTGTTTAACAAGAGGCCATCAAATCCTACTCTCAACCAAATGAGAAAATTTAAACATCGATCAAATCTTTTAAAGTTGGGTTCAATGAAAAAGTTATGAACAATTACTATCTTACCTGCTGTAGATAGGTCTTTGAGCAACCTCAGTTTGAAGAAACAGAGTTTTATCCTGACCAGCCAATCTGAGCAAGGCCAAGACCTAAATGGACTGCTGCCATCTCGAAATAATTCCATTCTTAAAACTTTCAAAGTTCATGGGAACGCTGGTTTACAAATCTTTTCATCACCAGAAAATTCACATTTTATGGGTATTCAAGCAGAAATACTATGATGTTCCTGCTGAAAGTGCTTTAAACCAAAAACAGACTGGATAAGTCACATCAATTCACYACTTCAGCCATTCAGTATAGGATGCCTCAAGATGTATTGTACTGTAATAACACAGTCTAACTATAAGATAAATCTTTATTTTTTTCTTTTTCTTTGTAAATCCCTTAAGTGTTAAATCAAGAGACAATTTCATCTTTATGCCATTGTCTTCATAACATCAGTGTGTGAATGTGTGTGTGAATGAATAATGTAACATGTCTGAGAGTCCTAAAAAAAGCACAATATAAGACTAAGCATTATTATTATTATTATTATTATTATTATTATTATTATTATTATTATTATTATGCCATTTTTGATCATAGATCTCTAGATATTTCTCAACTTCAAATCTTTCATTATCCATTTTCATACTTTTGATATGAAACAGCACTACAACTAAGCAAGAGAAAAAAGTATTGACAAAATAACATTAAAGCAAAAGAGCTAGTACACAAATGCACACTTCCAAGTGGACCGTGAGCACAAATTAAAATGTATTCTTTTAGGAATAGCAATGCTTCAAAATAGAGTCAGTGTTGGGAAACATGGAAATAACAGAGGTGCCTGCGTGTTACCCTTTAGGCTGCTCTGAAAGTGCTTTAAATATGATGCAACATAGAATAGAATAGAATAGAATAGAATAGAATAGAATAGAATAGAATAGAATAGAATAGAATAGAATAGAATAGAATAGAATAGAATAGAATAGAATAGAATAGAATAGAATAGAATAGAATAGAATAGAATAGAATAGTCTTTATTGTCCCGCAGAGGGGAAATTCAGGTGTCACAGCAGCATCCGTACAGAGGTTCACACACTAGTTATTTTACAAACTATAGATGCACACAAAACAAAAGTAAACACTGACTAGCCATGATACAACTACTAATAATAAAAAATATAATATAAAGAATTGTGCAAGGATAGAAAAAGATATGTTTTGTTTTAGAGACAGTAGACTATCAGAATCCAACATTAGGAATCAGAAATTGCCTGTTTTCTGTGCAAAACAATCTCAACAGACCAATAACTGTAAAGTGAAGTATCACAATGCAGACAAGAAACACAGATGTACAATTACAGCAGAGTAGTAGTGCAAATGATTGTTCAGTTGAGTGATGACAATGAATAGTAACAGTACAAATGATTGTGCAGCTGCAGGTGTGTAAACACTTATAGAGGGGGCATCCCAGCACAGAGCTGGCCTTCCTGATGAGCTTATCTAACCGCTTCCTCTCAGCTGTAGTTAACCTGCCGCTTCGGCTAACCACACCGTAGAAGATGGCTGATGCCACCACAGAGTCATAAAATGTCTTCAGGAGCGCCCCCGCACTCCAAAATACCTCAGCCTCCTCAGCAGGTAGAGTCTGCTCTGACCCTTCCTGTAGAGAGTGTCTGTGTTGTGAGTCCAGTCCAGTTTTTTGTTCAGGTGAACACCCAGGTACTTAGTCCACTATCTCAATGTCCACTCCCTGGATGTTCACCGGTGTTAGTGAGGTGGATCTGTGCCTGCGGGACTCCACCACCAGCTCCTTGGTTTTAGCAGCATTGATCAGGAGGTGGTTCTGCTGGCACCAGTCCACAAAGTCCTTTGTCCACTGTCTGTCCTCTGAGTCGTCCTCACCTGTGATGAGGCCGACCATGGCCGAGTCGTCAGAGAAGTTCTGTAGGTGGCAGTGTGGGGTGTTGATGGTGAAGTCTGCAGTGTAGAGGGTGAAGAGGAACAGTACCAGCACTGTTCCCTGAGGAGCCCCCGTACTGCAGACCAGTATGTCTGAGACAAAGCCCTTGTCCTCACATACTGCGGGCGGTCAGTCAGGTAGTCCAGAATCCACTGGGACATGTGGTGGTCCACTCCAGACTTCTCCAGCTTGTCCCTCAGAAGTCCTGTCTGGATGGTGTTGAAAGCACTGGAGAAATCAAAGAACAGGATCCTCACAGTGCTTCCAGGCTTCTCCAGGTGTGTCAGAACTCGGTGCTGGAGGTAGATGATGCCAGGCTAGTAGCCAAACTGCAGCGGATCCAATGAAGACCTTACTAGGGGACATAGATGGCTGAAGACCAGCCTCTTGAAGGTCTTCATTAGATGTGATGTCAGAGCTACCGGCCTGTAGCTGCTGAGGTCCTTTGGATGTTTGGTCTTAGGCACAGGTACCACACAGGAGGTCTWCCATAGCTGTGGTACCTCCTCCAGCTTCAGGCTCAGGTTGAACATAAATCCCATGATGCCACATTGATCTGCACAGCACCTCAAGAGCCTGGAGCTGATGCCATCATGACCTGCAGCCTTTCGCACCTTGATCATCCTCAGCTCGTTCCTCACCTGTGTTGAGAGGGACAAGATGGAGGTGGAGGAGGAAGAATGTGAGATGGAGTCCTCTTGAGTGAGTGGGGGTGATGATGGTCGGGAGCTGAGAGGTGTGAAGTCCTGATGCTGTGGGTTATAATCCTCTGAGGTGAGGGGGGTTGGAGGTGCAAAGTTCCGTGAAGGGAAGCCAGCAGTGGGTGGAAGACAGGCAGAGGAGACTGGGCTGGGGGAGGGGGAGGGGTGGGTGAACGATCACACCGGCTATGTGAAAATGTGAAATGGTGTCTATATAAACTGCTATGAAATTCACTTTATCTCAAATCCGCTTTAGTGTCGCTTTTAGCTTGTCCATTTGGTCAGAATAAAACAATTTCTTCAAACAAAGACTRCTCAAAGAGCTATCTACCGCAGGTAAGATAATAATGCTTCATAACTTCAGTTGAAAAGAAAAGTGCATTTCCCCATTTTAAGGCACTAACGCTGAGTCACCAAACTATGTAACTGGCTTCTGGCTGACTACACATGTCCATCTCACAGTGTTTCCCATGAACGGTATGTAAACAAGTGTTTGTCTGCGCTGTGCCTCTTACAGGACCAGTATGATGTCATCGACAAGCACACACAGTCCGGCCTTGACCTGGTGGAGCGTTACATAAAGTTTGTCAAAGAGCGGACAGAGATCGAACAGAACTACGCCAAGCAGCTCAGGTGGGCTCCACGTCTTAAAGCTCAGATGATTACAGAAATAAATCAACAGTGCATTTCTGCAAGCATGAATTTTGTTTCACTGTATGACAGGAACCTGACCAAGAAGTACACCAAACGAGGAGGCAAAGACGAGCAGGACTGCAAGTGAGCAAACACAGAAAAAGAAGTTTGAAACTCATCATAGCTGCAGCTTTTTAGGGAGATTTTTTTTTCTGCCACATAGAAGACCCTTCCTGGTAACGTGCTCATAAAGGTTGCATGATAAAATGCTGCAAGGCTGATGGTAAAGCTGCACGCTCATAACGTTTCCAAGATGGAGGAACGGCAGAGTTTTTTCAAGAAGTGAAATAACCAAGTTCAGAAATTTTGGTTCGCTCGTACTTTAAATAGCCAGGAAGGAAAAAAAGCCATGCACACATCTTCAATCTAAGCCTGCTGACTGTTATTTATAATATGAATCTAAATATATCATTCCTAAAACACAAAGAAAGGCTGTCTTTACATCAGAATTGTTTATATCAGCTACTCGAGAACAGTTCAGGGTGAAATTGCTGCTTCTCTGCCTTGTAAGGAACCAGAGACAGAGGGTTTGGACAACTGCTGAGGATGCTTTTTGCACGTGACGTAACCCACAGAGAGGAAGCTTCACTAAAGAGATTATAGAGTGCCCGGCCAAAAAAAAGGTCACTCTGTGGTATTTGGTTGGACCGCCTTTAGCTTTGATTACAGCTCACACTTGCTGTGGCATCGTTTTCACAAGCTTCTGCAATGTTGCATTGATTTTCTGTCCAGTTTTTTTTTTTTTTTTTTTTGGCGAAGATCTTGTGTGGATGGGAGATGCAGACCATTGCAGAAAGTCTTCTCCAGCACATCCTAACAATACTTAATGTGAGTTCAGGTCTGGACTCTGCAGTGACCGATCCTTGTGTGAAAATGACGTCTTGTGCTCCCTGAGGCACTCCTTTGTAGTTTGAGCCAGATGAATCCTGGCATTAGCATCTTGGATCACGTTCCTGCCATCAGGGAAGGAAAAAATCTATTGATGGATGGTCAGCTGAGCTCATAACGCTGCTGAACCTAGACAAGGCCAACTGCAACAACTCCAGATCATAGACTGCCCCGCAGGTTTGCCCAGTAAGCATGGATGAGTCACTTCACCTGCCTCTCCTGTTACCCTGATGCTCCCATCTCTCTGGAACAGAGTCAGTCTGGACTCGTCAGACCACATTCTTCAGTTGCACAGTTCTTAGCCTGATTGTAGTAGTTTCATCATTCTGTATAATGTGACACTTCTAAAGCAGATGAACATATTTTCCACGACCACAGGATGGGTCACTCATGCAGTAACTGTCCATTGGGAGGCTCTTATTTGCTGTGTTGAATCCAAGTGGTGACTTTTGTTTTGGCAGGGCAGTGTGTTTCACTGCTAGTTAAGAAACACCCACTTCTGGTAGAGTTTGCTGTGGAGCGAGAAGGTCATGGGAGTCTCTGCTCAACCCGCCGCCCTCACGACACGGGAGAGATAACAGAGATCACATCGCCAGAGTAATTAGAGGAAATGTTCATGCAGAAAATAAAGATGAAATGATTTTGATGAAGATGCAGATTAAGCTAAATTTTACCTGAGAGCAAAGATAAATCTGAGATTTTAACTGTAAATCCTACTCTGTCTGAAGTTTTACAAAGGTGGAGTGTAAATGTAACCTTTTGACTTTCTATAAATGTCAGTGTTTGTAAAAAATGACCGCGCAAAATCAAACAATTTTACAGTAAAAAGCACTGATCATTTTAACTCAATTTTTTTAAACTAAATGAAAGCATCACTATGTTACAGTAAGGTTTGATCTAGCCTTGATTTTTCTGTTTCAAATCAAGTTTTATTTCAAAACAAAGATGCCCTGTTTGTCTGTTAGCAAAAAAATCTTCTATACCACTGGCTCGAGTTTAGTGAAACTTTAGTGAAACTTCCAGTATTTCAACTTATCCATTTCAAAATAGCAGCCACAGCTAAGCAAACTTAGCAAACACAGAACAGGCTATAACTCAGTCATTTTTTTACAAATATAGAGCTCAAACTGGGTGTAGCCATAGCTAAGAGTCTTTGCCAACACATGCGAGTGCTAATAAGCTTGCAGTAGATTGTGCATAATATGTAGAAGTTTTTACCCAGACTCTCTTAACTCGGTCATCATACAATGATCTTGGTTTAAAACTCTGTCATGAAAGACCATATGAATTCTTTTAATTTCTGACTGATGCCATTCCTATGAGAGTTGGATCGATGCTGTGGCATGCTGTTCAGCCAGATTTGCAACATTTGTTTGCTCCTCGGTTGCATGATGTCCGCACTGAAACGTGTGGTTTTGTTTCCTACTTATTATAAACTAAATTTCATTCAACGTATTCCACCAACGAATCATGTTGTGAATGTAATTTCTGCCCACATAATTGACGCATATTTTTTTAAGTTCTCTTTTGCTCTCACTTCTGTTCTAGATATAGCAATTACGCATCTTTCCAGGACATCCTGAAAGAGCTGAACGACTATGCCGGACAACGGGAGCTGATCGCTGAGAACATGGTGGAAAAAATCTGTAATGACCTCAGCAGGAACGTCCAGGACCTCAAGCAGGAGCGCAAAACGGTGAGGGAGGACCTGGGGCGCCTGACAGGTGGCTGCGCTGTCATCAGAAGCTGAAGCTAATTAGTCACCACTTTTCCTTTCACAGTTCCTGTCGGACGTCAAGAAGGCCCAGCAGACTTTAGAAAGCAGCTTCAAACACCTGGAAACGGTGAGGCATTGACTGTTGAAACTTTTCTAATGAGGTTTGTTGTTCAGGAGCCACAATTTCTGTTAAAGCATTGCTTTACAAGTTTAATGTTGGCAATGTCTTATTTAAGGAAAGTTTTGTTAAGCAACCTGATTGGTTTACARTTAATTCTAAGAGAAATAATGTTAGAGTATGCTAATTTTTTTATATAACTAGAACAAAAAGTAAGGAAATTTGTGTTTGTTGGATTATTTCTTTGTTGAAACAATGGGCCTCATGCAAGAACATGTTCATATTCTTATCCTAAATTTCTCTTACTTTTGTTCGTACRAAGGGTTCGTACGAACATGTCACGTCAGATTCAACAAACTCTTCTATCTTCAGGAAAAGTGTGTAAATGAGCTGCGTAATTTACACCTGTTCGTATCC